TCAGGGAGGAGTGGACGGGGAGAGGGGATGTACTCAGGGAGGAGTGGACGGGGATGGGTGGGTAAATGGGGCTCCACAATAGCTTAGACACGTTGGACATTTAGGACGTCATTCATCTCCAACTCCTTGGGACTAGTCTGCTATCGATTCTTCTCAAAGAAGTTATTAGCACATCACCCTAATGAAAACACCATATACAATGTCTTAATCCTTATTCATGGGTAACTCTTACAGTAGAACATGTCTTAGGGGCAATTAGGATAAAACTGTTCTCAGCACCAGAATACACACAGACTACAACTACTTACTAGATTCTATTTGAATTCCTGCCATTTCTTTTTCAATTACACTTTGGAGGCACAAAAAACTAAAGTTTATTTCAGTTGGGATTGATGTCAACAGATAGATTAGCCTATGTTTAGCTCCAGAAATAGCTTCTTTTCCTTGAATGCCAAAATTAAATCATCAAATGATAGCCTTTTCACCACAGACAGAGACAAATACACAAACTCCTTAACAATTCTGTTTCGTGGGCCAGTTACATTTTAATTACTAAGGCCGTCCCACAGCTTTCCCCCTCGTTCAGGATCGGTTACTAGAGCATGGCAAATCCAAATCACACCCTCAAGACTTGTCTGCTTTAAAGCAGCAATGAGCATTGTGACGACCAAGTTAAAGTGGTCTTTCAAGTTTGCCCTCCTATATAACAGCTCAGAAACACGTGTCAACAGGTCCCTTTCAGTCTCAGCCAAGGAGAGACTCTTGCTCAAAGAGGCCGACATGTCACTGCGGCAGTCTGCAGCAGAGAGAACGAGCGACAGTGATGCCTGGGCTGCAAATAGGCCATTCTCAGGTGCGCCAGCCCCAGGAAGATGGACACGCCTGAATCTTCTCTCACTCTACTAGTAGAGAGGCCCTGTCTGCCTAGTCAAACAAAGCAGGCATGTGAAATGGAAAATCACATGACTCAGTTCTCAAATGGCCCAAGGGTTAGAATCAAGTTTACCTCAGAGGGAACATACTGCTCCACCGCTGTCGCAACAGTCGCACAACAAATCCAGAGCAATACCATCACCGAGAGGACCAGCGTAGTAGTTAAAATCCACCCCGAATTACTGAAAATCAACAATAGGTCATATTAAAATGTCATCATTCAAAAAGACTCAATGATTAAATGCAATTAGATTTATGTCCTAAGTTTAATAGTAAAATTAAAACATTTGAGTACTAACTTTAAAATTACTTAAAAACATGCATGTGGAAGGAAATATTAAAAGAGTAACTATTGTATTAGTATTTTACAATAAAAAGCAAACCAAAACTATGACACTGGCCTGAAAAACACATAAAAGTAAACCTAATTACTACCAAGGAGATTGTATAACTACTAAATGTGCTAAAGGCAAACTGTATACTGTTTTACAAGTATCACATATTCAAGATGTTACAATGACACTTACCTTAAGGAAACTCAAATATACCAAAGAGTTAATGTATAAAATAGGTAAATCAGGAAATGTTTTTTTTTAACAAAGGAATTTTCAACAGGCTATAGTAAATCAATTCTCTAGAACATTTAACATATTTACGTTTCTACAACTTTCCAACACTTCAGTTTACCAGTGTAAACATCTACTACGCAGCATTCTGCAATCACTATAGAATACCTTAATAGAGTATTCTGCTTTTCTTATGATTACATTAGTGTAAGGTTGAATACCAGTAATGATAATCAACAACTTGTTTTTAAGGTATATATGATTGGCCTATTGTTTGCAAACTATAAAGATTCAAAAAAACAGGAAAAAATAGAGTCAATGAACAGGAATACGTACAGTGAGAGGCATCTTAAGAAGCCATCACTTTCTCCATCTTCGAGAAAGCTCCTGTGTGCTTGTGAACTTCGCATTTGCAGATCTGCCAATGACAAGGCACAAGTTTATCACAGTCTATCTCTCCAGATATAAGCACTCGACAGGCGCCCAGTTGGTTTCAAATGTGTGCTCGGATACTCCTTAAATGAATGGAAAGCTCACCTAGCACGGCAAAACCAAACAGATCTACACATTATGGATTTCCTTTTATCTTAAACTTCTTTCTATTTAATTAACTATGAGCCTTGAATAATGGAATTTGGTTAATGTCTAGTTTCATTAATTGTGGGCGGAGATCAGCTCACAATCATCCTCCCTGTTGCCAGACCACTGTCTCCCCACATCATAGAAGTGGGCCTGCTCCCTGCTGCTGGGGACAATGGACAGGCTCCTGTGGGCAGAGTTCACATCCTACTGATAATGGTCTCTATCAGTTGGGCCAGGAACAAGCCAAACCAGCTCTGTGATATTCAAAGTTAGGCTGCCATCCTGTATCTAAGACCTGTCCATCTTGCCTCCTGTATACCCCCAATCCCTCCTCTTCCTATTGCCTGGATACCCCTAGATCACACCCTCCCATCACTGTAATACCGATAGCACAACCCTTTCCTGTGAGGTTATGTCTAATTAGGGGGCTGGCACATCCCCAGAGAGGAGAAAAGCTTGGGAAGCATTAAAGTTTCGGCTCTCTCCCTCCACGTGGACGACCAAGAGGGGCTGAGGTGAGCAATGCTACCATGAAATGTGTCTGACTCCATTTAGTTCTATATATCTCTTTTATCTCTCTATAACTTTACTATAATATTTACTTATTATCGCTGTACAATTGTGCCTACTGAACCCATAATGATTGTGCTAGGAGCTGGTTTCTTCTGGCAATTAATGCTCTCAAAGGTCTTATGTCTTATACTATCATTATCTACTCACCCACCCACCCAAATAGGCTAATTATACCAGCTGCTAGCCACAAGAGTTAACCATTAAAATCACCAGTAACTCCAAGGGAGAAAGGCGAGGCTGTCTGCTCCTGTAAAGATCAGCAGCCTCAGAAGCCAAGGGCAGTTCTGCTTTGTTCAATAAGGGTGCTATACGTCCAAATCCATTCAGTGGCAGTGAGTTTGTTAAAATAAGATGGGTTTCATAAATGTAATTAACTGAGCTGTGCTTTAGTTTAATATTTTATATTCCTCTAAGTTAACTCACTTCTAGAAGACAAAATAGAAAAATGGAACCTCATCAAAATGAAAAACTTTTGTTCATCAAAAGACTTTACTAAGGGAGAGGGAAGGAAAAAAGAGGAGCTGATACCAAGGACTCAAATAGAAAGTAAATATTTAGAAAATAATGATGGCAACATAAGTACAAATATGCTTGATACAACTGATGCATGGATTGTTATAAGAGCTGTTAAGAACCCCTAATAAAATGATCTTTTAATAAAAGTAAAACTGGCACAGCATTTAGAAAAAAAGTATTAAGAGTATAATAGTCCCCGTTCCCCCTACTCCCCCACTATCATGACCCCAATTCTACCTTATAAATCCGGCTAGACCAGAGCATGAACACTGGTACAGATAAGAGCTCACAAAACAGGGAATCCAGGACAGATAAACCCCTCAGGGCCAATAATGAGAGTAGTGATATCAGGAGGGGAAGGGGAAGGTGGGGGGGAGAAAGGGGGAACTGATCACAATGATCGACATATAGCCCCCTCCCACCCAGGGGGATGAACAACAGAAAAGTGGTTGAAATGAGACAACAGACAATAAGATATGAAAATAATGATTTATAATTTATCACGGGCTCATGAGGGAGGGAGAGAAAAAATGAGGAGCTGATACCAAGGACTCAAGTAGAAAGCAAATGTTTTGAAAATGATGATGCCAACATGTACAAGAGTACCCAACACAATGGATGAAGGTATGGATTGTGATAAGAGCGATTTAAGAGCCCCCAATAAAATGATTTAAAATTAAAGAAAATAAAAATAATATATATAAAATAGTCCATCTAAAATGTGGGAAAAAATCTTATGCAGCCTCATCATTTTCCCACAGCAGGGCTGATAAGTTTGAATTGACCTTTAAGTTATCAGCTCTGTGATTATCTTATAACATCACCATGATGCCTTCGAAGTATCGATAGGTATATAAATCCAAATATGTGGGTGCAGGCACGTGTATTCATTGAAAACAGATACAAATATGGTTATCTGACAGACATAATCAAACATCTTTCAAAATTGGTTTTCTGGGTTTAAAAGCTGAAGGTCATTAATTTCATGAGAAAACTCAGTCAATTGGCAAAACAGAGTTGATAAAAATCATAATCTGCATCCCAATGAAATGAGTAGTGTTTAAGGTTATAAAAACATAAGGCGCCACCTAATATATAACTTCCGGTCTCTACTTGCCGGGAGAAAGAGAGCAAGAAGGTAGCCACACTGGCCTGTGTACATATGTTTACACAGCAATACACTGAGGAAGTGGACGGACTTTGGACCTCTGCTCAAGCCCTCCCTCAACACAAGAACACTTTGTTCTAACAACCTGGCATTCTCTGATGCTCACCCTCCCAACATGATCACTGAAGACAAATGGGTGCACAAGCAAATATGGCGAAGAAAGCTGATGGTGCCCAGCTATCAAAAGATACAGCGTCTGGGGTCTTAAATGCTTGAAGTTAAACAAATGATCTTCTAGCAGAGAACCAACAAGCCCACATGGAAGAAACACATCAGCCTGTGAAATCATGAGGTGTCGATGGAATCAGATAACAGGCACCAGAGGCTCAAAACAAACAAGCAAGCAAACAAACAAATTGTTGAGAACAGAGGGGGGTCAGAGCAGAGACCCAAATCCCATCTGTAGACAATGGAACATCCCCTCACAGAAGAGTCACAAGGAAGGGATAAGTCAACTATGGCGCAGTAGAGCACCGATGAAACGCACAATATTCCTCTGGTTCTTTGAGGCTTCCTCACCCCCCACTATCATGACCCCAGTCCTGCCTTTCAGTTCTGGCTAGACTGGAGCATGTACACTGGTACAGATGAGAGCTCATGACACATGGAGTCCAGGTGAGATAAACCCCTCAGGAAAAGAAATGAGAGTAACAATACTAGGAGGGAAGGGGAAGCGGGGGGGAGGAAGGGGAGACCGACTGCAATGATCAATGCGTAATCTCCCCGCCCCCACTCCCAGGGAGATGAAGAACAGAAAGGTGGGTGAAGGGCAACAGCAGTCGCTGTAAGATATGAAAACAAGATCTTTCATAATTTCACAAGGGGTCACGAGGGTGGGAGGGGGGAGGAACGGAGAAACAGAGGAGCTGATACCAAGGGCTCAAATAAAGTAAATGTTTAGAAAATGATGATGGCAACATATGTACAAATATGCTTGATATAATTGATGTATGGAATGGTATAAGAGCTGTAAGAGCCCCCAATAAAATGGTTTAAAGAAAAAAAGGGGGGATACATGGAATGGGAGTAGAGCCATGTAAATAAAATATACACCGTATATAAGCTGAGTTTTCAGCACAATTTTAATGCAGTTTTTGTGCTGAAATTAGGTGCCTCAGCTGATATTTGGGTCGGCTTATACTTGAGTACATACGGTATAACCCTATGATGTTGGTAAGGGAGGACCCTATGAAAAAGGGAGTCAGTGGTACAGTAATAACAAGAGCAATAGCCTCGTAAAACAGAGACCAGGAGACTGGTACAGACAGCAGGGTGACTTATATACTCAGGTAGCTTTGAGGGTGCAAAGAAGCTATCCTGATGAAGGAACTGCATCCTGTTGTTGTTCTTGTTATTTCATAGTTGAACCTGATCCTGAGTTATATCCTGTTACTTCTCTAATAAGTCATGTAACTATATAAAAAAGAGAAGGTAACCAAAGCTCAGAGACGTAACAAGTCTAGATGAGCCATGAGTTCATCTTCCCTGAGACCGGAAGAACTAGATGGTGCCCTACTACATCACTGACTGGGGTCACAACAGGTAGCTCCGATAGAATGGATGGAAAATGTGCAGCAGTTCTTTAAACAGTCACACAGGAACAGTAGAGAACAGAGGGCACCTGAGATTCTCTTCACCCCTACAAACGAGCCGATCCCAAGATCCCCTTTAGAAATATAGCAGAGGGACACAGAAGATATAGGTTATTTTTTAAAAAAGAGATAGTGGTTATTACTTTATTATATATAAAACAAAAGATTGGTGCCCTACTGAAAAACTACTAGTGTGAGATAAAAATATTTAAAAAAAAAATTAAAAACAAAGATGGCAATATTAAGAGGGGCAGGACAGCGAGAGCACTGGAAGTAGACTAAACAGAACCCAAAGAGATGGTTGGCACATTGCGATAAATGTAACTGAGGACACTCAGCAATTCGTGTGGAATTGTCAAGTGGGAAACTAATTTGCAGTGCAAACTCACTAAAAAACACCACAACAACCATAACCTACATTAAAATTCATTTCTAGCATGGATATAAAAACAGAATGGGGCTTACCCTTTTGGGGTAGTCTCACTTCTTGCTTAGTTTATTGGGAGATATCAGAATATTTGGCTAGTTTATACTCAAAACATCTTTGAAAGCACACTAAATGTGAGAATATTGGTTCTCCGAGGATGGCCTCTAGATTAGCGGCATTAGCAGACTCTGGGGAAAGATTAGAAATTCTAATTCTCTGGGTTCCCTAGACTTAGTGAATCAGAAACTTTCGGGGTGAGGCCCAGCAATCTGGGTTGTATGTAACAAGGGGTGCAGGCACTCCTGATGCCGGTGCACAGAACCCTGCTGTGGTGGTCATCCCTGCATCTCCAGCAGTGTGGAAACACACAGAACCAACTCCCCCACTGCCATCTGACTGCCAATGTTTTTATCCCAGGCTACATACAAATACAACTTACAGGACATTTTGCTTAGAGAGGATTCTTTCAAATTTGTAGGCTCCTGCTCCAACTGTGGTGCATACTGAATTTCTGGCTTAGACTAAAATGATAATGAAAGCAATTAAGTCATTTGTACTTCATAAGCTTCTTTCAGCAACAAGTTCTATAACACATCATCTCTATAAACATTTAAATTGAGCAAAAGTAACAGAAGTATGGCATAAAAAATAAAACACATTAACCACAATATATTTTAATTGCACTTCCTAAACATCAGATCCAGTGCTTTGCAAAGAAACAGACGAGTTTCTGGCATCAAGTATTTAGTCAGTTTAACTTCCTGACAGCATAAAAAGTTAAAAAAAAAAAAAAGACAAATTATAACATACTGCATTAAATACCATACCCTGCAAAAATGAGCTCTAATTCTAGTTGATCAGGAATAATTTAGCAGGCTGTCAAAAATTGTGACTAAACATATTATCGCTATTTTTCTCATCTGAGACATTCCATTTTCCCTAACTATGCGAAACTCGCCCCACTTTGGGGCCTCCTGCCTCTCAGCCATTGGAGTGGGAGTTTCTTCATTTCAGTCATACGCCAGTCAACACAGATCTCAGAGCGAGAGCGGGGCTAAGAGAGTCTCACGCCTAATCAAGGTGAATGAAGACTTCTGACAGCCAATTTACACTTTAAGTGGACTCAGGACACTTGAATATAAAGAGAAAAAATATCCCTTCTGCATTTTACTTATTACTTCATTAAGTACCAGGGTCCACTGGCTCAAGACCGTGCTAAAAATCACATATTGGCTGTAGAGTAAGCCCCTGAATTAATGATAATAAAAAGGATTACTTTAATTATCCCTCGAGAGGAAGACAGAGTGACAGTGTCTTCTGCTGGCTGGTAAACGTAAGGACTTTACTAGATTAAAAAGAAGACAGTATGACAGGGTGGGATGTGGGTCTCGAAGCTAAAGTGACTTGGGCTTAAGCCCAATTCTGTCACTTACTAGAAGTGAAACCTTAAAAAAAGTTAAGACTCTCAGTTTCTCATCAATAAAATAGGGTTAAGACCACTTTACAGAGTTTTTCTTAAAGATTTGAGATAATATGAGCAAAATGTCTATCAGTTTAAAGCCTTCAGTATTTAAGTTATTATAATCACATCACACGAGACAGGAGAAGAGTTACCTCTCTAAGAAGCAAATGTTTTCTCATTAAGTATAACTAACATGAGTTATAAGGGAAAGCATTAGGAACTAAAAATTATCTCTTAACATTTTTTTCTGATAGCCATGTCATCATATATACACTGCTGTTTATGTTGAGACGATATTAATTATTTTTCTCTCTCTTGTCTCTAGATCTCATTTTTACCAATCTAACCACTCAGGGTTCTGGCTCGACAACCACGAGAGAGGGGGCTTGCAGAGGGCAGAAGAAGGTAAGTCACGCTGCACCTGATGCTCCGTGCTTTCACGTAGGCTAAAGAAGTGAATGATTACTTGATGACAAGTATTGTTATTTATGGCCGAGGACTGGGCTGCGTGTCAAGCGACTCGTTTCAGACATACACATTTACTCTTACTGGCATTTAGATGAGTCCAAGGAGCATGGGTATCACCTGGAATATAACAATTTTTCCATCATCGGCCTGAAGGTAAAAAGTCCATGAAGAGGTTATGAAGCTCTGGGCAGAGTCCACCACGTCGCTCCAGAAGGACCTCACCAGAGTAAGAGGGAAGAGCAGGTGCATTTTGGGCATCAGAGACATGAGCTTAAAAATACAAAGACGGATGAAATCATGAGAAATCATTTCTTTATACATGTATATTCAAGAGAACACCATAGTTAAGATTCATCAAATTTCCCTTGGTCCAGGGAATAACCAAATGAATGCTTGTGCTCTGTCCCTATGAAAGGCTCCTTCATGGGCAGTCAGGGCCATAATTAAGACCATCTTTTCTCCATCTATACCTGCTTCTTTCATAAGACAGAAACTTGAGAGGGTTGATAGTTAGGCACAGAAAAGTTACTTTCATTGTATTTTATAACCCAATGGAAATTATCCGAGGGTTGCTTTGCAGTTCTAGATCACCTGTCCCGTTGTTCCCTCCTGCTCCTTCACATCAGGACTCCTGAGACTCACACTGCTCATGTGAGTGAGCCTCCCGTGAGGACCCTGGGTCCCTGTGGAACACCACTTAGGAGGCCTGGTGCTGTCGGGGTTCCATGTCGCGCTACTACCGCCAGTTTGACCACCGCTCTGCCGGAGGAAGATGGCACTGTTCCACAGGGTCATTGAGTTGGCATACGCTCCGCAGTAGTGAGGCTGGGGTTTTGAGTTTGGGTTAGGCTATTGCCTCTCTTCTCACCACACTGGATTATCAGACAGCATTTCTAATGACATTTAAGACCTTTTCACAATATGTTTGGGCATGGTTAGTGTAGAGAGCATGTATGGTAGGGAGGAGAAATAATCAAGGGTTACGTGGTTTAAGTAGTTTGAACTTAACTTGTCTGGGTGGGGCGCTACTGAAGGACAGACTGTAATACAATGACGTGTATGTCAACTTTTAAAGTGACAGGAACAAAGAGGCCCACACTCGCTGCCATCTCATCAATTCCGCATCAGAGTGCCCTACAGGACAGGGGAGAACTGCCCTTGTGGGAGTCTGAGACGGTGCCTCTGTATTGGAGTAGAAAGCGCCATCCTTTCCCTGAGGGGCTGGTTGGTGGTTTCAAAATGCTGCCCTTGTGGTTAAGAGCCCACCCGTGTAATCACCACACCACCAGGAGTCCTTTAAAGGACGATCAGAGAGTTAAAATGGGAAACTAGCTGGTTACTTAATAATACAGTAACAAAGATGAAACTGGTGATGGTTTAAGGCAATGAAGAGTTGAGATTTAGAAAAAGGATTCTGGGCCACAATTTCTCTGAGCCCCCGTTTTCATGTGCAAAATGGGAATTATGTCTTCACTGGACTTTGAGAAGAAACAAACTAAGCTTATGGGGAGGTGAACGTACTCTTGAACATTAAGACGGCAAACAAAAGTGAGAGTTGCCTTTTCTACATGCAAATATGTACTTCTGTTTTACTGGAAATAAAATATACTAAATATAGAAGCAAAATAGGATCAAGTGGGAGACAGACATTTAAAGCACTGCAAGTCAGTGCTATTTACGCAGAAATTTGGTTCATACTTGTTCTTGTCTCAGTTCAGCAAACGGCAGCTGACTCTGGCAACCGAGATGGCAAGCGTATTGCTCATCAGATTGGGAATATGCTTCTGTACACGCTGCAAGAGAAAAAGTCGAATTATAAAAAATACAAAACAGAAAGGAAAGTGGAGAATAGAAAAGAAAGGGATTTGGCATTTTATAAAGAATTTCTGATACTTAAAAAGCATTTCATCAATATGAATTTCCAAATTTGCTAAGAGTAGAAAATATACTATTTTATAAAAATCCTTACCTCGGCTCAAGTATAAAGAAAATGTTTTGAGAATGATAATGGCAACATATGTAAATATGTGCTTGATACAATTATAAGAGCTCTAAGAGCCTCCAATAAAACGATTGAAAAAACCAAAAACAAAACCCCCTATAGTTTCCCTCCCACAAGTCACATGTTTCAAGTACACTTCTATTTGAACACACTCGGACTCTGGCCAGAAGACGACATTCCTGTGAGAGGTTCCACGGCAGAGAGAGCACTAGACTGGAACATACACGTCCTGCTGCAAGTGTGTACTGAATCATTTACGACCTGGGCAGAACTCTTCATGTCTGCTGACTGATTGCTTCATGTTTAAAATGGACATATTACCATCTACATCATGGGGCTCTTTGAACGAAATGACACACTGTAGTGATTTAGGCACACACAATATTACTATTAGAACTGGATCACTGAGTTGAGAAGCAAGGGTGGTCACACGGTAAGGGGAAAAGAGAGCCATCAGTTTATCACTCTAAGTTCTGAGAAAACAGAATTCAGGAAATACCCTATAGTAAGTGGTTCTAAAGTTGAGATAGGTCTCTACCAAATACATTCTCTTCAATTAGTTCACTAGGGCCATTTCCTTCTAGTGATCTAATGCTGTATTACTATATGAATTTTACATTTCTTTCTAACCCAATCATGGCGTTGTAACACACGTGCCCAAAGTGCCAGGCAGTCGATGCAACAGCATTGCGCACTGACACAGCTGTGCAGGTGGTAGGACACAGAGTTAGGAAGAACAAGGTTATAATCTCACAGAAGACTGGGCATGAGTCAGGGCATTCTGACAGGGAAAGAAGTAACTCGTGCTCCACTGAATAAAGAAGATAAGAAATGGAAGGAGATGAGCCAGCCAGGGTGCGATGTAACAATGATGAGAAATACAACTTTCCTCTAGTTCCTAAATGTTTCCTCCCCGCTCCCACTACCATGACTCGAATTCAATCTTGCAAGTCTGGCTAGACCAGAGGAGGTACACTGGTACAGATAGGAACTGAAAATACAGGGAATCCAGGACGGATGAGCCCTATAGGACCAGTGGTGTAAGTGGCAAAACAGGGAGGGTAAAGGGAGAATGGGTAGGAAAGAGGGAACCGATTACATGGAACTGTGTGTGACCTCCTCCCTGGGGGACAGACAACCGAAAAGTGGATGAAGGGAGACGTCGGACAGGGCAAGATATGACAAAATACCCATTTATAAACTATCAAGGGCTCATGCGGGAGGGGGGAGCGGGGAGGGAGGGGAAAAATGAGGACCTAATGTCGGGGGTTTAAATGGAGAGAAAATGTTTTGAGAAACGATGTACAAATGCGCTTTACACAATTGATGTGTGTATGGATTGGGATAACAGTTGTATGAGCCCCTAATAAAATGTTAAAAAAAGAAAAGAAAAAGAAATGGAGAAAAGTCCAGAATCGTTCCTTAAAAATGTTAAGTATCAATTTTGCTCTCATCCAGGTTTCTTTCACTGGATAAATCTCTTTCAGCAAAATGTAAGAACAATGGCTTAGCAGACGCCAAAGAATACACTATGAAATACTGAATCCAAGGCCTGATTCACTAAGAAACTTGGAGCTAAGTCAACTAAAGGATGGTTAGGAAAATTACACCATCCATGAAAAGGTTGTGGCGAATTATGAGTGGGGTAATTACTACTACATCTGTTTAAAACAGAGTCATGGTTAAACAAAGGTGTCTTATCCACAGTACAAAATAAACACTGTCTGGAGTAAAAAGATGAACTTAAAGCCCATGAAATTTCTAGCAGCAGCTACTAAAACTTCATAATAATTACAATATGCTGGATGACTTGTTTAAACAATTATGGTGTTTTGGGTGTTTTCTTTTCTGAGGGAATTAGATGAAAATTAAAGCAGAACTCAAGGAAAACACAATTTATTGCTGGGGTCTTTAAACAGCATCTTACCAGATTCACATTCCAATTTGGTCCGGTTTAAATCAATGCCGTCATCCACAAACTGACAAATTGAAAACAGCCTGCAGCCTCTCTGACACGCATACAGCTCCTCTTCCTAGAGAATGCAACAGGGAGGATTACCAAAAACCAGCGATTTTTCCATCAGGGAAAAAAACGTCGAGAAGAAAACAAATTTTGTAGAGCTTATTATAAACATTCTATAACAATTTTTACAATTAAAAGGGAAACATGATTTAAGACCTTCGTTATCTAAAGACCTTTTTAGTTTCTTATTGGAAAAGTGATACCACAAAAAACAAACAAGAAAGCCACTTGCCCCTCACATTCTGTGGCCATGCTTGAGGCGGCGGGAACGGAAGCGAACAGTAACAGCGACAAAACACACACTCAGCGAGGTAGAAAGTACGCAAGTGCTGGAGGAGCCAAGGCCACATCTTTGTGCCACATCCATGCCACTGACCGTATGTTGGTACGCACATAGCACCACGCTATGTGGCTTCTGCCGACACATTACATTTCCTGCGTGCAATGTGCTCTGTCATGTGCGTATTGCGTATATGGGCGTGTTGTTTGCTAAAAAATATGGCAAAGTACCAGCTTTATCAGGAAAAGCAGCAGGACTAGCCCCATAAGGCAAATGGGACACAAGCCTGAGGTGAAGTGGACGTTACTGGGATGCTTTGTAAGTGGGCTGCCCATAACCGAGCAGGCACAAACAAGAGCAACAGCGTGGTGCCCTGGAAAGGCCACTGCAATCGCCCAGACCTGGTCAGAACCCTGTGGGTGAGTGGTTCTGCACAAGTTATTATATTGCAGGTTCGAAATACGAAAGGAGAGGGCTCTTATCTTTAAGTTCCTCAAAAATCCTGAAAGATAGTTATTCCTAGCACAGTGCCTTTGAGCTATTCTTAGAAAACGGCAGTCATAGCGTTAAATCATAACAATAGATGAAAACACTAGCAAACAGCATTTGCCCAGGAAGGCACAGTCTCTGCCGGCAGATATGTTACCTGTGTACAAGACAGGACTGGCTGACATCTCACAGGTGAGGGAAGCCTGCCTGGGTGACCTCTGGTCTGCTGAGTGAAGCCCTGCCTGGTAACTGACACAGATTGGGACATATAATGGGCAGACACAGCAGAAGCTACCCTGGCCTCCGTTGCCCGAAGCTGGAGGGGAGGGAAAGGAGAGTTCCCTCCCAGCCTGGCAACAAGCTCTAGCTGAAGCAGGTGCTGGCTAAGAGCAGAGCCACCTGAGAGCAAAGTAGTCACACAGCAGTGGTCACACTGGCTGTGACTGGGCCCCAGCAGCAGAGAGGCTGACGGCAGCGAGCCAGACCGCAGAGAGCACAGCCCTGGAGAAGCCCTGACTGCTCATCACTGGGGACAGCCTGCGAGCTCTCAGAGCTGCTCTGCACTGGAAGGGGAGGGGCGTATTCTTCCATCTGGGACCTTCCAGACCTTGCCCGTATACTTCTGGATGCGGATCCCAAGTTGTTCCTTCTCCTGAGCTGTAGCCTGTTACTTCTCAGTAAACCACGTACTGTATGCTCAGGGGGTTCCACGGGGCGATTGGATCAGATTATCAAAATCTGAGAGTGCCATGGGGGGGGTGGGGGGTGGCTGGAGGTGGGGAGGAGGGGGTGTGAGTATTGACCTATACCCTCAGAGGAACTAGTTTGTGCTGATCCCCATTCTTCCTCTTTGTGAATTTAGACACTTCCTTGCGCTTTATTCCACTGTCCAGTCAACCCGGACGCATGGCAATCACGCGTGCCAGAGAACTGGGGCCCACGGGGTTTTCAATGGAAGTAGATCACAGGCTCTCTGCTAAGGTGCCTCTGGGTAGACTCCAACCCACAACCTGTTAACCATTCGCACTACCCAGAAACGCCAACAAACTGCGTGCCAGCTTCTTAGATGGTAGTTCAAGACTACCGTGATACTATTTATAGCTTCTAGATGCACAATCTCTTACCCTGAGCTAAGCCAAGCTGACTCTTTTCTCAGTACTCAGCACTACTTACTGGTCCTATTTGAACCAAACCGGTTTTACAACTGGAGCCCTGGCAGCGTGGTGGTTACATGTTGGGCAGCTGACTGCAAAGCCAGCAGCTGGAAACCACCAGGCAGCAGGGCAGTTCTGCTGTCCTGAGGGGCAGCTATGCGTGAGTTTAGTGGTCGGGTTTCACAGTCGTCAACACAATAGCTACCTGCAGGCTCCTGAAGGTCTAGGGGGTGGAACTCACTGCTGCAGACCCAGGACAGGAAGTCCTGAGCAGCCAAGTGACCAGGAGGACATGCAGCTAGCGTGGCGGGGCCAGGAACGGGACCAGCATGATATGGTTTCACAGCCACAGCCACACGCTGTGAAACATCACTCACTAGTCTGCCTCTGTTTTGTCTCTTGTATTCGGACACAGACAAACTATACAATTACACGTTTGAGGGCAGAGGATAAAATATAATAATAATGATATTAATAATAATATTTTTAAAATCTAGTTAATAAAAGGTAAAAACAGTCTATTTTCTTGCTGCAAATCATTGTGCAACAGAGCTGTTAAAATGAGCTTTATAGCCGTCAAAGTCACAAAAATCAAATCAAGAGAACACAAGTGAGCTTGTAAATGCATCCAATTTCTTATAATACAGTGCTTTTTCCTAAACCATAAAGCAAAATAACGTGAAGGAGGGTCAATATAAACCAGTGAAATAAATGAAGATATTGCTAAGGCAGCTTTATTGACAGGACAGTGCAGCCAGATTCAGGGTTCAATACCTACACCACAACTTCTTGGTTATGTGACCTTGGACAAATCTCAACTGTTCAGAGCCTCTGTTTCTTCACCTGTAAACCCTATTGTGCAGGGCTGCTGAGGGCAACTAGGAAATGAGTGTGCTTGAAGGCAGTGGGTGGGGATGCCTAGCAGATGGTTGTGTTTTGTTGTTAGCTGCAGTAGAGCCATCTCTGACTCCAGGCTACCCTGGGCTCCCACATTTCCACGATGGGCTGCAGGCCAGACCCAATGTGAGCCCAGCTCCCATTGGCTGATTTTCAAAAGCATATTGCCAGGCCATTCTTCTTAGTCCATTTTAAGTCAGCACCAAACCAAAAACCTAGTTCAATGCCATCAAGTCAATGCTGACTCATCACAACCCTATAGGTAGAACTGCGCCCTTTGACTTTCAAAGACAATAACTGTTTATAGGACTGGAAAGCCCTGTCGTCCATGGAGCAGCTGATGGTTTTGAACTGCCCACCTTGGGGATTGAAGCCCAATGTATAACCACAATGCCACTAGGGCTCCTTTTAAAGCAAAAGGTCTGCTAAAACCTGTTCAGCATCAGATCCACAGGATATCCACCACTGGTAGGTGGTGAAGACTGAGCATGATGGATTGGCCGGGAAATTGAAGATGGGAATTTTACCAGTAAAACTATTCGTAGCTACGTGGATAGTAGAAGTCACTATATCTACAATCCCAGGAAATACTGAGGGCCAGGTGGTTTAGAGTTCCTGGTGTGAATGGGTTTAATGAATAAATGAAAAATGGCTTATTGATATCACATTGTTAAAAAGTGGTGGTTATTATAAACCCTAACAGTAACAGAAATGTATATTCTTTCTAGCTGTTTCATCCTTTTCCTAGCACTCTGGTTTATACCACTAATCTGCTGGGCAAAACTAAAAAATAGGAAGCAAAACAGAACAGAAAAGTCTAAACATTAACACAATATGAAATCGATCTCAGCTCAATTCCAGATCAAATAAATTATTAATGAGCTCCCTCAGACAATCCTCATAATGGTGAGAGGTTTATAAGACAAGGGGTAAAGAATGCATTCAGGGACAGTATTCATTGATTTGTCTGGAAGTCAGAATTTCTCATCTTGCTTGCTTGCTGTTATCAATTTCTGATCCTCCCTCCCCCACTCCCTTTCCAGAAAATTAGCAATCCTTGTATAATACAAAATCCACCAGTGAACAAACACATTTAGAACTTTCCACTTCAAGAACCTAAACGGGCCCAGAACTGAAGCACCTTCCACAAAGAACAGTCCTCAACCCTAGGCATCTCAGCATTATCTGTGAGGCCAACAAAAACTGCGTCCATCACACACACACACACACACACACACACACACACACACACACACACACACCAGTCTGCAAGGGCTCCCACTACACAACATCCCAGGCTTATAAAAACTGAGGCCAATAAAAACTGCGTCCATCACACACACACACATATACACACACACACACATACACACACACACACACCAGTCTGCAAGGGCTCCCACTACACAACATCCCAGGCTTATAAAAACTGAGTCACACACACACACACGTCTACAAGGGCTCCCACTACACAACATTCCAGGCTTCTCCTGCACCATTTGAAGTGTAAGAGGGCAAAGAGGGCTAGCCACGATGGTCAGCAAAAAGCAGACAGGAGAGGAAGGAAAACAAGAGACCAAGACCAGCAACCTCAGCAAAGGCTCTCGAAGAGAAAGGGGGCGGCGCAGGATACCCTAATTACACATGGAGAAGGGTGGGGGAAACACCAGGCCATTCAGAACGCTGAGTAAACAGGGTCCTTCAGAAACTGGAAAAGCTGGAGACTGGGGACAGAATGAACACACCTGCTGCAGCTGCAGGCCCCGCGGGGTCCCCGGGTCCCTCCCCCCCCTCCCCCCCGTCCACAGGCTTAGCCCCCAGCGCCCCACCCCCAGCACTGCTGGTCAACTGCTTGAGGGCAGACACCTTCCAGCGGCCGGGGTGCAAAGGCACCCCCACCCCATCCGTGCGGCCGAGCCTTGCACACTCAGCGCTCCGGCGATGCCCCAGGCGGATAGCTCAGCGCTTCGCGTTCTAACGTGAGCTCGTCTCACGGACGCCCGGCGCGGTCTGGATGCTCCCGGCCCAGAGCTGCGCTCCGAAATCCTGGGCTCGGATCTCGCCTCCCGGGGACTCGCCAGTCTGCACGGCCCCGCCCCCACCTGGCCTGGAAGAGAAGCTCCGGGAAGATGGGGTCCTCACAAGATGATCCTTAGGCCCCCTGGAGTGCTCGGCCTCCCCAGCCAAGGGAAGGGGACGTACCTCTCTCGTTTTTGGCCCTCCACCCGCATCTATAATTACAGGGGAGGCGCAGCACACACTTCCGGTAAAGACAGCTGGGGCGGGATGATGGAGGAAAACAAGAGCTACATAGGAGGCGACAGCGGCTGCAGGGCAGATCCAGCAGCCAAGTGCCCAGAGCAGACTGAGATGGGGGGCAGGGAGGAGATCCCCCGGTGGGGGCAGGGGCAGGGGCAGGTGGTTGCCCGGTTCGATCGGGCCCTACCTTGGGGTAGGTGTGCAAGGGGTAGGTCAGTTGACAGGCCCGATGGCAAGATGCCGTATCCCCCAAGACCGAGTCAAACGCTTCAGCCGAAGCAGTCCCCGAGCCTCCGGCCAGGGACAAGGTCAGCAGCAGCAGCGGCGGGAGCCCCAGTTGGGCCCTGACCCAGAGGCGCCCACTCCACGCCGCCATTTTGTTCCCCTCTGTCACAGCAGCTCAGCTTGTTGCTGTTTGCTTTCCAGGACTTCCTCCTCCTTCCGGGGCCAGCCCTCTTCCCCGCCCCGCCGGCCGCCGCTTCCGCCACCGCGGGGGACTCGGCTCCACCCAGACCGGTGCGGAGCGCCGCCTCGGGCCCCGCCCCTGAGACTACGAACTCCGCCCAGGCCGGCTTGAGGCGCAGGAGCTCAGCGTGGCGAATCAGAGGGCGGAACGGCGTGCTCTGGCCCCGCCCCTCCGCGGAAGGCGCTGGGGCGCGTAGTTCTTCGCGGCCGGGAGCCGCACGGCGCCGTCAGGAAAGTTGGTCTCGGAGAACTACAGTCGTCCGGGACACGCCCCCAGCCCTCCCTTCGCAGTGCATTCTGGGGACTGTAGTCCACCGCGACCCTGAGGCGCTCTCGCGTCCGGTGAGCACCTTCACAACTTCGTCCGCTCCGAGGAGTCGTCTGTTTGCTGTCCGTGCCGGCGATCGGGATTCGGGGCTCGAAGGGTGCACGGTGTGGGCCCTTCTGCCGCTCCCACTGCTGTTTTTTCCCGGTGGGTCCCACGTCAGACCGTTGTTAGGTAACCCTGCGTGGAGTCCTGAGCGCAGAGGTGGTGGTTGGGTTTCCGCTTGTTGGGGGCGTCAGCACCCCCGGCGTCGTGAGCGCCCTCTGAGCACCGAGTTCCGGGAGAGAGCTGTTAGCGTGAGGGGCTTTCCGGGGCCTCGGGGTGGTTGTTGGTTACGAGGAGGACCCTCTGGATCGGATTATTGGGGTAGGGATATTGGGGTAGTTATTAAGAGAGCTTCATTGAGCCCGGTGGAACCCTCATCCCGCTACAGCGCGATCCAAGTGGGAAGACAAGGTGCTAGATGTCATTGCATTGATTCAGTGCTGCGCTACTACAGGCCTAGTAATCTCCTTCCCAACATGCGCTTTTGGAAGCTGGAGAGCCTGCTACCTCAGGAACTGGGCCGATCATTGTATCCAGTTTCAGTTAAGTAGATCTTTTTGTAAATTCTCCCCGAGAGCCCTCATACTTCAGGGTTGGTTACAGAGTGTGTCCCACCCGATTGTTCGTATCCATGGGAACCCAGATCACAATCGTTTTGGTGACGTTTTAGAATCTGCCCTGTCTTGCACAGAACCTACTTCCGGCTCGTGGCGATAGTTGAAATCCCCCCAGCAATGGATAAATTCGTCATCCGAACACCTCGTGTCCAAACCAGCCCTCAGAAGAAAGATCCCGGAGCCAAAACGTACAAGCAGGCCACGATTGAATCTCTGAAGGTGAGACGGGGACCGGGACTGGAGAAGTGTACTTGGAACTGTGATAGCGGGTGGTGCTGATGGTACTGCTCTTACACAATACCCTATGCATTGCCCTTTCCAGTGCCCCCTCCCCGAAGGATAATGCACCGCTCTTGCCTGTTCCCCCCATACCCTGTACATACTTCTATGATTTATTAATTTCCATACCTCTAGTACATTCTTCTGATTCTGGTTTTAAGGTATGTTCTAGTAGCTGCTCTGGCAGGCTCTTCCCTACCTGTTCTTCTTTTGCAAAAATGTCTTGTCTGGTATGACTATTAAAGCACCTAGGGTAGTGTAAATGGTTAACACACTCAGCTGCCAACCAAAAGGCTGGAGAGCTATATGAACCCACCGAGAGGTGCCTCGGAAGAAAGGCCTGGCGATCACCATCTGACAAATCAGCTGTTGACAACCCTGTGGAACACCGTTCTACGGTGGCTCTTAGGGTCACTGTGAGCTGGACTTGACTGAATGGCAACCTTTCAAAGTTTTTCAGCATCAATTGCTACAAACTCATTAAAGGCTGGGTCAAGGATACTATACTCTCATAGTGTATTTATTGGCCATAACTCTGTCACATGGCCTTTCCAGGTACTATTAAGACAGGAAAGAATCTATGGTATCTTAATGGAACTCAATCTGGGGATTGATACAGAGTAGACAACCAACCAACTATAGAAGTGAATATTAAAGGGAAAAACCAGGTAACCCAGCCGCCGTCAAGTCCACTCTCACTCATAACAACCCTATCGGGCAGAGTAGAACTGCCCCTTGAGGTTTCTGTGGCAGTAAATCTTTACAGGATTTATAGAGGTCTATAAATCTTTCTTCTGCTGAGTGGTTGGGGGGACTCAAACTATTGACCTTAGAGTTCGCAGCCCAACTCCTATCTAGTAAATGGTACAATCATTATTATTTGGACAACAAAAAAGGTATAGTTCCCTTTTCTTCTTTTTAAAATATATTTCTATATTTCTCTCCATTATTTCTGCATTTAATTCTTTTTTTATTAATAATTAAATCATTTTATTGGGGGCTTGTACACATTTGTTGCCCTCATCATTCTCAAAACATTTGCTCTATACTTAAGCCGTTGGCATCAACTCCTCATTTTCCCCACTCCCTGCTCCCCTTCCCTCATGAACCCTTGATAATTTATAAATTATTATTTTGTCATATCTTAACACTGTCCGACATCTCCCTTCACCCACTTTTCTGTT